GTCGGAAAACTGTCCCACTTCGGCGGAGTTCATGATCTCATGTCGGGCTCAGTGCTGACAGCTGGAGACTGGAGCCTGCTTCGGATTATGTGTCTCCCTCTCTCTGCCCCTCCCCTTCTCACAGTCTATTGTTCAAAAGTGAATAAACATTAAAAACATTTTTTTTAATGTTTTATTTATTTCTAGGAGAGAGAGAGAGAGAGACAGCGTGAGCAGGGGAGGGTCAGAGAGAGAGGGAGTCACAGACTGAAACAGGCTCCAGGATCCGAGCTGGCAGTCAGCACAGAGCCCGACGTGGGGCCTGAACCCATGAACCGCGAGATCATGACCTAAGAGAAAGTCGGATGCTTAAACGACTAAGCGACCCAGGCGCCCCATTAAAAACATTTTTATAAAAAGAACTTTAAGCATTACAAATTTATAGATCCTGATAGCTAGGAGGAAATGAAGTCCCAAACCCTTCTTTTTGTATATTCCAAATTGTTGCAATTAAATGCAAAATGTTGATAATCCATTGGTTACTGTATCCATTAGTAATTACCGCAAATAACACTTGATAGCAAACCACCTATGAAACTCAATGCCTTGAAACAATGATATTCGCTTGCTCCTCCTGAGTGTATGGGTTGACTGAGCAGCTCTGCCGATCTTAGCTGGGCTCACTCACGTGACTACAAGTTGGCCAGGTGGCTGACTGAGGACGACGACGTAACTCTCCTCCATGTCACTCACCCCTCCAGCAGGTTAGCTGGGTATGTTCTCAGGGCAGAGGCAAGGATGCAAGAACACAACTCATTGTGTCAAGAGCAAGAAGGAATGCACACCCAATTTTGAAATCCTCTGCCTTTGAGTTATTCTCTTGACCAAAGCCAGTGTCAAAGCCAAGGCAGGATGAGAGCAGAAAGAGGTTACAAAGTTACAGGGAAGGGGTGTGGAGAGACAGAGGCCACCTCTTGAGGCCATGGATGCAATGAACCTATCACAAGGGGTGAGGTGATGGGTAGGAGTCTTGCAGTCTCCTACTTCACTACCTCCTAGAACTGTCGCCTCTGTATTGAACACTCTGGACAATATCAACTAACCAATGAATCGAGGAGATGTGATTTGTACATACAATGGAATACTACTTGGCAACAGGAAAGAAGTAAATCAAGCCATTTGCAGCAACATGGATGGAACTGGAAAGTATTAGGCTGAGTGAAATAAGTCAGTCAGAGAAACACAGATACCATATGTCTAAACTCATATGTGGATCTTGAGAAGCTTAACAGAAAACCAGGGGGGAATGTTAGGGGAAAAATAGTTACAGAGAGGGAGGGAGGCAAACCATAAAAGACTTGAATAAACTGAGGGTGGATGCAGGTATGGGTGAGAGGGGGAAATGGGTGACGGGCACTGAGGAGGGCACTTGTTGGGATGAACACTGGGTGTTGTATGTAAGTGATGAACCACAGGAATCTACCCCAAGAACCAAGAGCACACTTCATACACCATAAGTTAGCCAATTTGACAATAAATTATATTTAAAAACAAACTGAAACAAAAGAACACTCTGGACAAGCCAAGCTCTGAAGACCAACCTACCATAGATGAACTCATGCATCAGCTTCCTTCTCAAACTGTGACTGCCACAAATAAGAAAGAGTGAGCCTCTGGGCACATAGGTGGCTCAGTCTGTTGAACATCTGACTTCGCTTTAGGTCACGAGTTCACAGTTTGTGAGTTTGAGCCCCACATTGGGCTTGCTGCTGTCAGCACTGAGCCCACTTCAGATCCTCTGTCCCTTTCTCCTCCTCCCCCCAAAATAAACAAACATTAAAAGAAACTGATCCTCCATTAACCAAGTTTAATGTTATCAAATTGTCCACCACATGATCATTACTAAGTTCACTGAATCTTAGGTGGTAACTTGACTCAACGTAAATATTTGGTCTTTCCTCTGTAGCCTCAAACTAAGAATTCCTGGGGTCAAAGGAAGAGAAGGAGAAGGACAAGGGATCTGGAAGGAGCTCTGTGGTCAGGATCTCACAGCACAGCTCAGCCACCTACAGCTGTGTGATGTTGAGGAAGTTATTTAGCCTCTCTGAGCCTCAGTTTCCTTACCCTCAAAATGGAGAGTAATCATTCATCTTACTCATTCATTCAACATACTTATGGAGAATCTACTAGATAGAATTCCCTGTAATTATAGAGCTCACTTCAAGCTGGAGCTGCCTAAGAGACAGCGAAATTGTAATACAGGGCTAGAAAGCATGAAGCCCTAGGGACACTCAGAGGTATATCCAATCCTACTTCAGAAGATTCATGGAATTATCCGTGGTGGGAGTGATGACAGAGACTCATGAAAAGGTAGAAATTAGACGGGTTTTGAGGAAAAGTGTCCTAGGAAGAGGGAATGGCAGATGCAAAGTCCAAAAGTCAAGAAGATATTTTCCTTTCTGGTTTTAAAGGCAAAATCTGCTATCATCATGGCAAACAGAAGAATATTCCAGAATATTCTAGAACAAACATTTGTAGATACAACAGAAATCCCTTGGGGCTCTCATGAAAATGCAAGTTCTGGTTCAGCCAATATGAGGTGGGTCCTGAGATCTTGCTTTTCTAGCAAGGTGATGCTGATCTGTCTGATGCACAGACCACACTTTGAGTAGGGAGGTATAAGAGTGGCCATGGAAAGGAGGATTCTTCATTTCATTGGTCCAATTTTAATATATGTACTCCCAAAGCGAGCACAGAAGATATACCTACATTTAAAACGTTCATCTCCCTCTTCTCCCTCTGGCAACCAAGATTCCATGGAGCATGAAGGACAATGAGGGATGGCGATAACGTTGTGAGCAGTGTGATTCCCACACAAGGTCTAGGAAAGTCCCTGGAGGAAGAGAGACGTTGGATCCCTGAAAGCTTCCAGGAAACCAGAATACTTTTCAAAGGGTGTTGCAATCAAGCAACCCTCCATGAAATACTGGGATCCTGCACCACCCAGAGCTCCTACTCACCAATCGAACTCTTGTAAGTGTCCATGCAAAACTAGCCTACAGGTCTATGTGTTTTATTCATACTCTGGGGCCGCCATTACTGTTTCACTGACTGTTTCCTTAAAAGCAGCGGAAATCTATGTCAAAGGCTAGGTAGATCAGTCATATGACAAATCATTTATTGAGGGCCACTCTGAGTCAGACACATGACGGGTGCTGGAGAGGTACACCTGGAGCCATACGCCAATGGACTTAGGAGAAACAAAAATGGTAGCCAGATAATCTTGGCTGTGCCATTGCGCTGGGGTCTATTACTCCCTCAAAACTCTGGAAACTCAAAGAGCAGAACTGATCATCTGAAACAGAAATTCTTGGTTCCCAGAGGGTTCTGAGACAGGCAGGACTCTGCCTCTGCCCATTAAGCTGTGATTTCAGAGACGGCTCCCGGAGGCATTGGCTTTCCTCAAACGTTGCTGCATAGCATACTGGCAGTAAGAAAGATCGTCATCCCTGTGAGAGAGAAATCAGAATTAGAATCAGCAGCAGGATTAGTACAATATGATTCCGGGGGGTTGTAAATACTTGGGTCTTATAAATACAGAGAGATGGAAACAAACACTAGAAGGATGAACATTACAACATTAACAAGGATCGCCTCTATGGTGACAGGCACTAATGGCAAACTCTAAAGCTATTCTCAACCTCTTCACCATTCATAGCTTCCACTCTAGAAGCAGGAAAGCCAAATACTTGCTTTGTCAAATTCCTTTGTACCTATGTAAGGTCATGTGATACAGTTCTGACCAATTACTGGAAGGGAAACCCAATGAGGGGTTTCTGGGAAAGATTTTGTTTCCTCTGAAAGAGGGAAGCCTGAAAGGAGAATTTGAGGCTTCTCCCTATCCCTCTTCTTGCTTTTAATGTGGTCATGATGTCTGGAGCTTTGGCAACCATCTTGCAACCATGGAAATCATTTGATGAACGGTCAACAAGCTCATAGTGGAATGGAAAAGTTGAGAAAACCTAAATCCTTTCCAACACCCCTGAGCAACATAACCAATATCAGCAACACCTAACTCTGGGTTTCAACTTTTGCAAAAACAAATTAGTATTTTTTTCTATTTAATTAAGCCACTGAATCTTAGTTACTTGTTCTTGGATAAATCAGTGAAAAAAATTGTAATGGGGGATAAAAGAGCTATTGTGTAAAGTGCAGTTTTACATCTCTGTAAGTTTTTAAAAAATGTTTTATTTTTTTCTGAGACACATAGAGAGAGAGACAGACAGCATGAACAGGGGAGAGGCAGAGAGAGAGGGAGATACAGAATCCAAAGCAGGCTCCAGGCTCCAAGCTAGCTCTCAGAGCAGAGCCCGACAAGGGACTCAAACCCACGAACTTTGATATCATGACCTGAGCTGAAGTCGGACACTTAACCAACTGAGCCACCCAGCCGCCCCAGCAACTCTGTAAAGTTAAAACATTTTTTTAAACATTTATTTATTATTGAGAGACAGAGAGAGACAGAGCATGAGTGGCACAAGGGCAGAGAGAGAGGGAGACACAGGATCTGAAGCAGGGTCCAGGTTCTGAGCTGTCAGCACAGAGCTGAACATGGGGCTCAAACTCACCATCTGTGATATCATGCCTTAGCGAAAGTGGGACACCTAACCAATTGAACCACCGAGGTGCCCCTACAACTCTGTAAGTTTTAAATAGCAATAGTAGCAATGGAAAATTATGAGTAAAAATCAGTCTTGCCTGCTTTTGCACGTTCATATCTTTAAAACAAATTTTTTTAATGTTTTATTTATTTCTGAGAGAGTGTGTGTGTGAGTAGGGGAGGGACAGAGAGAGAAGGAGATACAGAATCCGAAGCAGGCTCCAGGATCTGAGCTAGCTGTCAGCACAGAGCCCAATGCGTGGCTCGAACCCACAAACCATGTGATCATGACTTGAGCCAAAGTCGGATGCTTAACCTACTGAGCCACCCAGATACCCCTTGCATGTTCCTTTCAATGTTTCTGAAATTATATATGTGTAGCATAAGTCATGTAATTTATACATTTATAGAATTCATTTTATGGTACTATGAAATTTTATATAAAACTGTATAATATATAATATGTAACTTTCTAATTATATGTCGAATTCTATATATGTATGTGATTATATATAAAATTATCAACAAGGGAACTTGGCAGATGTTATCACTGGCTCAAAAAAGAATGCAAGGAACAGACATAATACATATATATATAATAAATACTATAAATAAGAGCTATTTGATACCTATTATATAATGTTATATAAAATGTACGTATGTTCTTTGAAGTCTCTTTTGAGCCAGTTTAACATTTTCTTCACCCCCTCATGATGATAGAGTAGAATAAAATCCTTAATGTACGGTCACGTTATATCTGTATGAGTCATTTTATCTTTTTTAGTTCACACAGCTACCATGGGACAAAGTCGGGATTTAAGCCCAGGCTGCCTGGTGCCTGAACCCCAACTCTTGAACCCCAACACCACACTTTGTCAAATGTGCAAAAATATACATGGACACACAGCTCACAGCTGGTTCTCCATGCACAGTGCTGGTATTGCTAAGCGGCAGTTCCGTTTGAACGGAAGTCTGCGCAAAACACACCGTCTCTCACCGTTTTAGAAGTGGAGGGGACAGAGGACAGTAACATCTCTGAGGTCTGAGACTCGGAGCTGCGTTTGGTCTTCCTGGTAATGCATTTCCTGTATTCTTCCCGCACCTGGAGGAAGACACG